TGTGTGTGTGTGTGTGCTGTCATGGATGGGGACTGAACTGTGAGTAGGTATGTTCCATCAGCTGTTGTCCACTCCCGAATAACTATCTAATCCTCTGGAAACTCACATTACTATCCTGACAGCACAAAAGCCCCCCGGTCTTGATTTGGTGATAGACATAATTTTCCATGTTTAGAGTGTTGCATGGATACAAACCTCGTCAACCTGGAAAATTACCAGCATACTAAATATACTCAGCAAATGTCTGTTACATATTCCACATATTAAATCACATTCAGGGGAATTATCTTTCTATTTCTGTTAGGATTAGTACATTCATTGATCAATCAACAGAGAAGGAATAGCTAAGTATTTTAATGATTGCTTATCATTTATGTTGTTCATCAAGCTAAAGGCAAACAGTTTGCTGAATACAGCTTTTAAAAAAAAGGACAATTTATTTATTCTGTTTTGTGTGATTAGAAACTGAACATCTTTGACCGTTGGACTGTAGGTTGGACAACACGTGAAGGTCTCACCTTGGACTCTGAGATTGTGATGGGCTTTCAATGCCTTTTCCTGCCATAAAATAGGTAAATTGATCAATTGATCAAAAAATAATTGAAAGATTAATTGATGATATTCATTAACTGCAGCCCTAATTCCTGTCTTTGGAGTAATCCAATACAATTATTACTTTTGAAACAAAGCTGATCATCAGATTAAATGGTTGACTGTGTTGCAACCTCACCAGTACTTTGGAGTTCAGACAGAGTTCAGGGTCGTCAGCATGTAAAATTAAATGTATCACTATTAGGGAACTCTACTTGGATAGATACTATAAGTCATCCTGAGTCGGAGTTAAGCAATTTCCCTTTGCCTAAAGAAATATTCTTAGAAAATCAGATTAAAGCTCAGCAGCTTCAGCATACCAGCATTCAACATAACCCCAGTTAAAAGATGAACTGAGACGCTATCAACACTCACAACTAACGGGATTATTCAGATACTTACTGAGGACTCCGGCGGCCTGCTCCAGAACTTTTTCCAGCTTCTGCCGACTCCTGCCAGCCACTGCCCACTTCAGGTGGCCCTTCGGACCCTCGGAAACAGTCCGGGCCACCTCCTCCACCACAAACTGTCCGGTGAAGCCAGAGGCTCCGAAGATAACCAGATGGTACGGCCTGCTGGAGGTTGTTTCGACACACGCCATAGTGACAGCACACAGACTGGAGCAGCTCCCTGTTCCGGACTGAAACAGCGCAGGGGGTGCGGGGCTTTTCACAGCGCGTCTCCTCACTCTACTTCCGTAGCAACCTCAAGCGAATATGCTAACAGACGTAACCAACAGCGACCACTTCAAGAGACCTTCACGATTAAAGCGTTCCGTTGTTGTTGTTGTTGTTGTTATTGTTGTTTTAAACAATGTAACCTTATATATGATATATTTCTAGAGAGGAGTTCTCTAACTTATATTAATTATGTTTTAGCATACGCATCGCGTAAGCGTCACCACTTCCTCGAGTGTCGTGATTGGTCCTCGCAGTAGTCGCATGTTAATGACGACATCGTAGGCTTAGAGTTGGTGTGGCTGCAAAGTTCAATGTCACAGAGTTGTTCTAGCGACCAGATAATGACAAGAGCTACTCTGTCCTCAGGTCTGGATACATAGGACATTCTGCACTATGGTATGTAAGTGTTTCTGCCAGTGAGGCGACATTAAATACATCTTAGTTGTAAGTGAACGTCACCTACGTAACGTTACATAGCATACCGCTAGCCAGTCGGCTAACAACGAAGATATTTTCAGTATCTCCAAACTGTTAAACACCTTAAACCTTTTATAAACCACCTGCGGGCTCAGTGTGCCTCTTTATCAAGACGATGACTAAAGTCTGTGACTGCACAGGCAGAAGGACAGTGGTGACCTTTGCTCTGAGGCCGATCAGATTAAGTTTACCCCCCCACGTGGGAGCATAACATACTTTACTTACACTGGTACACGCGTGTCAAATTGAGTTTTGTGTTATGACATTAACTTAATCATTTAACTACAACATTTAAAGCTTGTAATTTATCATGTTATCTTCAATGATATGATACTTCAATTGAACACACAAGTTAGCTGTGAGGACAGTTTGAGCAAGAATTCATGGAGCAGGTTAACCTTTAAGTTAACCGTTCAATGTACTATCGTTTAAAAATGATGTTTTAAATGTAAGTTGTTGTTGTTGTTCATCTTAACATCCCATGTCCCTTTTCCTCCCCATGCCCTTCAGGCAGTGACCTCTTGAAGAGGTCCCCCATTCTCCTTCCTCCTTCTTCAGCTGTAGTTACAGGTCCATTCGTCCACCATGTCCACCCAGATCTTGAGAGTGGTGGAGCTGATTATGCGCTCTGCTTGCTGCCAGACCATCAGAAGTAGAACCTGTGTGCGCAAGGCAGTGTTGGCCCCCGTGGCTTCCTCTGGCCTCTGTGTTCCTGGGGCTCCTGTGCTTCATCGAAGGGCCTACAGCTTAGACTCTCTGTCTTCGGGTCCTGGTCGGCCCACACATGGTCCAAGCTCCCAGCAGCCTTGTGGAGAGAGGTCACCCCCCCGGCCTTCAGCACTAACACACAGGAACTTGTCTAATGTGGCTATACAGGTAAGCAGTTATTTATGGCTTTCCTTGGTCCCAGACACGAGTTTTCAACTGCAGCCTGGTATATATGAAATTCGAATGGAATATATAGCCTGTCTGCTATGGATTTACAGATTACAGCTGTGTTTCTATACTCTTTTCTGCACTTATTAATGGAAAACTCCACTTATAAGGAATTGTGACAGTGGCAAGTGTTTTGTTGTATTTACATGATGTGTTTTTACATATGGTTCACAATCTTCCAACTATACACCAATTTTTAAATAATGTGTGGGGGGTTGCAGTGATATACACACTTTACCACAGCACCATCCCTCAGCTTCTCCTAGGGATTACAAGGCCTTACAGGCTAGTTGAGACATTGGGTCTGCTCTACTATCAGTTGTCTACCATATACAGCTGTTTTCCCTTGATTTTTAAGGTGCACAACACATAGATCTGCTGTGACCCTGCACCACACCCAGACGTTTTGCCCCGAACAACTGTGGTAGCTCACAAGATTTCATGTTAATGTTATGTATGTGAGGAGAAAATGCACACTTTGATATAAATCTTGAGTTTGTGCAGTAAACTGTAAAATTAATAGAGACAAAGATTGAGGTTCTATATAAACTGTAGGCTTATTCACATATGTTGTTGATAGTTTTCACTCTCTTTATGCATTTATGTCCTTCTCCATGGTCAGTGCAATCCTCCATCCTGGAATGACATCTCGGACCCCACCCCACAGTTTCAGGATGATGTTAGCTTGCCTCACTGGGAAAAAAAAAGGCTCTCCGTAGTGAGCCAACACCTGGCTGATGTGATAACACAACATCTTCAACCTGAGGATTCCAAAAGTGTTATCTTCGAATGTAACCCAGGTGTGTATTTGTTTAATGTTTAAGTCGGAGTGAAACACAAAGGTGAACATTCATCGAATTAGGCACAAACATTGCCAAAATTATTACTTTTTGACCAGTGGGTCATAGTGAAAAATGTGTGTTTATGATTTGTTTGTGTTTGTGGAAAATATAATTCTTGTCCGTGAAACAATACATTGATGGGCTGTGTTTGTACTTGTGTTTCATAGGTCTTGGGGTGTTGACTAAGACACTGCTCAAAGCTGGAGCTAAGAGAGTTGTGGCTCTTGAAAGGCATAAGGGCTACTTACACAATTTAGAGGTAACACATCTGTATGCATTAAATTACTTTTTGCATCAATACGATATGATTAACCAATACTTACTTCTAACCTATCACGTTATTTCTTCAATTAATCTGTGATTCCCTTGTGTATCAGTTAAATAAGTGATGTTTTCTTGTTGTAGGAACTGGAACGTTGTAGTAATGGTCGACTGGAAGTGCTTCACTGTGAATACTTTAAATTAGACCCCATTGGCGATGGAATAGTGAAGCGCCCAGTCATGTACTCTGAAGAACTTTTCACTGACCTGGGAATACCAGAAACTAGGTGGACTGACGGTGAGGGGAAAGAACATGTGCACACACACACAAACTTAAGCAAACCTCAACCCTATGTTCTTTTTCACACATACACACAAAGGGGTTTTTGTTCCTCTAGTTGATCCTCTATGGCTGCAAATAAATTCCACATCCATAATACAGTAATTAATATCCTAGCGCTTAGCAATGGCATCAATCTGAATCTTGAACATATACAGTACACAGGCTTTAAACATGTAAATAAGTCTTTTGAATCAATAATTGTTTTGAAAAAATAAATGACGACTTATGTAGCTTTTATGCTTTAACACACTTAACTGTATGAACACTGCATTGTCCCATTCCTCTAAAATGTGTATGTGTGTGTCTTTCTAGACATCCCAGTGAAGGTGGTGGGTATCCTGCCCCCATATAAAGAACGTAGCATGCTGCTGAAGATGGTTTACGCTTTGTTTCAGCAGCTGTCTGTCTACAGATATGGCAGAATAGAGCTCAACTTCTTCTTAAGAGAGAAGGAATACCAGGTAAAAGAACAAGACTTTTTAACCTATATATCTGTATAAACGAGTACCAGTTAATCTATTGATCACAGAGTGTAACCCAGTGTGTGCGGTTGTTTTCATGAGTATGGAGTAGGTTTCTTTTCATGGTTTTGCATCCTGTTTTAATTTGGGGGTGCTGTAAACCAGCTTACATCTGTACTTAGTTACTGCTGCACCTGTCAGTATAATCAGCAGTTTTGATCTGCCCTAAAGAATTGCCATATCCATGCTGATATCACAGTCACTACTTGATGCCCAGGAGACTAGTTTCTGGTAACTTAAATAAATCTATATTCTAATTATTTCTCCCTTCAGAGACTGACGTGTCGTCCAGGTGACATGATTAACTACAGACCCTTCTGTGTCTTATGGCAGATTGCTTGCGATATCGAACTACTGCACAAGGTACAGTATGACAAATGGTTGCAAAGAACATTTAGTTGATTATGCAAATGTATTCAAACCAGTTAAGGTTGACATTTAAACAGTTGTTTAAAACGTCCATGTTTCCGCACATTTTCAACATAAAGTGGGTAAAACCAATTTAGGGTGATACTTCTATTTGTCAACTAAGTCCTCTCTTTCTGCGTAGGAGCCCATTGAGTCATTTCTGACTGGTCAGCATACGCCTAAACATAGGAGCAAGGTAAGAAAGAGAGCAGATTCACTAACAGCAATTGTTGATTGGTATTGTCTGTTTAATATAACATCTCCCATCTGTCCTCTGCCTATTTCACCCATCAGTCTGCCAGCAACCACATGTGCCTGGTGCGCCTGCGTCCACGGGCTGATCTGTTCTCTGCAGGTCTCTCTCCTTTTAATGCTTTAACTCTGATAATGATGGTCAAACAGTGTCTGGCAAAGAGGAAGTCCAAGCTCATTGACATGCTCAAGTAAGCAATACACACACACACATACACAC